TTAATGATAGATTTGTATTTTACTCACGAGTTATTCTCGCTACTATAGTACCCAATCGAAGCTGAATTTCCTACTGTTGCAAACAAACACTCCAGGCCAAAAAGGAAGCAGTCACGGACGCGCGCAAGCGGGCGCTGAGGATATTTGGGAATGGGCTGGGCAACTGTCTACCTGATAAGAACTGGCTCAAGCTAATGCGAGGCATGGCGACCTCAGCAGGAAAGGTGAGTACTGTTGTATTCTGGTAGAGATATCTGTATAGGTACTTTCGAACTCAAAGACAACTGTATGAGTACTCCTGTTTACCATGGAGCTTATTATAGTGATGTACTGTAGCCTGTAGATCGGACTTTGGGTATGAAGACTACACAGCTACGGGTGTTCATGTACATATACTTCTGTTTGTAGTCACCAAGTAACATGTGGTTGTCTGCATTTTATCTTTCCGTTGACAGCAGAGTCACTGGTGTGTGATTATGTGGCCATCTACCTGTAGAGAATAGACGTTACGGGAGTGTATTGATATTTGGACCTCTGACTCTCACACAGGCGCCACCAATCGATACAGAGGATCTCCGCAAACCAGGAAAGCTGGGGAATGGACCCGACCGTAGGGCAGCACAGGCTGAATATGAGAGACTGAGCCGAATTGCGCTGGAGAACATGCCAGAGCAAGGTGAGTAAGCAGTTAGTATGTTGAACCTGTGTTGTTATTGGACTGAGAGAACTTGGTTGTTGTTTTGGAGAGGTATTAACCTTCTCCGTCGCTTCTCTTATTTCGTGTATTCCATGTTTGCATTGCAACCCACATCATCGGCTCAACACCGCTGGCAATTACGCACACGCCACGCCTCAATGTGCTGTCATTGAGTTGTCTCAATAGCTGCCTTACTTCTCTGTCTGTAGCTCATCAGTCTTATTTCCTTATCTGATCTCTATTGCAATACCACAGTCACAGCACCGGTGGCAACTACGTACTTGCCACACCCAACTTTGGGTTGTCTTAGTAGGCGCCTAACTTCTTCGTCTCTAGCTCATCAGCCTTATGTTGTTATCTGATCTCTATTACAATACCACAGCCACAACACAGGTGGCAATTACGTACTTACCACACCCCATTTGCCGTCAATGGGTTGTCTCAGTAGGTGGCTAACCTTTCTTTCGCTAGCTCCTCAGCCACATGTACTGATCTGAACTCTGATACTATACTGCAGCCACATCACCGCTGGCAATTACGGAAGGTACAGACAGCGACAACGGTGTGCACCTGCCACAGTCACACAACGACCAACGGCACCAGCAACAACAACAGCATACTCACCAACATACGAAGCACACAGGCGCACTCGCGGTGTCAAACGGTCACCATAAACACGATCCGAATGGGAGAGTGCCGGAGTTACGGAGCTCAGCGAACCACGAGAACTATCCTGTGCGAGGGACGGATAGAGGTGAGCCAGCGGGCAATACAAATAGTAGGCAGAACAACAGCAATAGCAATAGTAACACGTACGCCAGTGGTAGCAGCAAGCGGATGAGCAATATAGTGGGTGCTAATAACGGGAGAGTAAACGAGAATGCGATGGCTACGCATAGCGGAGAGAATGCGGTAGTGCAAGTAAGCGCCCCCGACGGTGGTCATTCCGCACCCGGACCACATAACGGGACCGGTCCGAACTCAATGTCTAGGGGTGCTGCGACGAATGGATCAGCAAATAGTACACATATGGGCACTGTTACAACCGGCAGTGGCAACAACAACACGGCCATGGGGAATCAACACACGGTCACACGCCCCCAAGGTAGTACACACGCTACAGCTCAGTGGAACGCCGCCTTGAGTACGACTGGCTGTAATGGTGTGAACAATAACGCAAATACAGGCGGGGGTATACGCGCACGCACCTATCCGTCTGGGAATGCTTCGCCGAGTGTAGGTAGCGCGAATGCAGGGATGGCTGCGAACGCTAGTCCGGGTATGAGGCCGGTCAACGGTGTACAGGCTGCAGGGGTGGAGGGTAGGGATTCCAGGGGTGTGGGTGTGGGTGTGGGTGTGGGTGTGGGTGTGGGTGTGGGTGTGGGTGTGGGTGTGGGTGTGGGTGTGGGTGTGGGTGTGGGTGTGGGTGTGGGTGTAGCTACTGCAACACATCAGCGGCAATAGCATGGCTAGTATGGCCGTGAATGAACACGCCAGACCGAACAACACACACAGTAGCACGCGTGGACAAGTGCAGAAAACAGCCACGTCCGCCAACCGACCAGTGTCCGTCGGTTCACACAGCACGGGCATACCACATACGCACTCTGCAACTGCACAACCCCGGAAGACAGGCGTTAGTACTACCGCTGCACCGTATATCAGTGGGGGCAATGGGAGTGGTACTGTGCATGACACGCACAGAGCAGCTATCGCAGGCACCGACGCCGGTATGGACAATGCCAGCACACACGCGAAGGGGTCTCCGACTGTGCTAAGTAGGCCCTCGGCCACCGGTGCGCCTGACAACACCCACACGGTGATAAGTACAGCTGCCAGCCAGTACGCGAATGCGAATGCGGGCATAGGCACATCTGCAGGCGCGAATACGGCCACAGGTACAAGCATGGGTGCGGGTGCCCCAGGGTCTGTTACTATGAATATACACGCTGAAATGCCTGTGCCGAAGAAGCTCCCTGGCATGGACATGTCGGTGCCTGGAGGTAAAGGATATAGGGCGAATCAGAACGCGGTGTACAATGCGAAGAATGGGAAGAAGCCAGGGACAAGCGGAGGGGGCTCAAATAGTCAGAAGCGGACAATAAGCGGACAGAACGGCAGG